TCATTTATTCTGTCCAACAGTCTAATGGGTGTGTCTCACGTATTCACTGTTTAATCTCAAACCATCCTGTGTTGTTTCATATTACCCTTATGTGAAAAAGCTCTTGTATTATATTGTTGTTATTGTTCTTATGTGCCTTCAGTTGCCTGCGACTCATAGTGACCCTATGTACATCAGCCCTATACCCTGCTCTATCCTGTGGCAATCTTATTATCTCCAATACACCTACCCCAATTACCCCAGTCACTGAATCAATCCATCTCATAGACGGTCTTCCTCTCCTGTGCTGTCCCTCCACCCTCCCAAACATGACGACCCTCTGCAAGGACTGGTCCCGCCTTGCAACATGTCCGAAGTATGTCAGACAAAGCTTCAGAATCCTTGCCTCCAAGGAGCAGCCTGGCTTCACCCTCAGGATGAAATTGTTCTCTAAGCAGTCCATGGTATATTCAATGCTCTTCTCCAGCACCACAGCTCAAAGGCATCCATTCTCCTTCTATCATGCCTAGTCACTGTCTAGCTTTCCAATGCATAGCAAGTAATTGCAAAGACCATGGTCTGGATCAGGCGCACCTTAGTCTCCAGACTGACATGGTTGCTCTTCAGTACTTTGGAGAGGTCCCGGACAGCATATTGTCCCTATACAATTCGTCTTTTTATTTCCTGGCTGTTGGTACCAGGAGTATTGATTGTGGAGCCAAGCAAACTAAAGCTGTTAACAATCTTGATCTTCTCATCACCTATCATGATGTTGCCAATCAGCCCAGTGGTGAGAATCTTTGTTTTCTTGACATTGAGCCTCAATCCATATTGAAGGCTGCAGTCCTTGACCTTCTGCAGCAAGCGCTTCAGGTCCTCCTCAGTTTCAGCACTAAGTACTACGGTCTCCCTGATTCAGATAGAGACATTTATGTTCAGAGACATTAAGCAATCTTTTGCCCATGTGTCAGTGTGGTAATTAGTGCCAGGATTAGTTGACTCCTGTTCCAATTCCAAGGTTAATGCCTTCACTCCCCACACTGTTTTACCTCTTCGAAAGGTTTTACATTATTATTGCGCTGTAGTTTACTCTTTGACTGTCAAGTTGGAACCGACTCCTATTGGATCCTCCAGTGGCCTTTCAGGAGGCTGTAAATCACACGGGAGAAGAGGGCTCATCCTTTTCCCGCTGAGCCACTGATGCATTTGAACCTCCAGAGAGTCTCCGCCTTTGGGTTACCAGGACAACTGAGGTAGTGTGGTCAGGTGTATCAGAGATGGTGAGGTTTGCGCAGGAGACGACAATGCTCAGAGTCATTGTTCATAGGGTCACTATGAGTCGTAGGCAAAGGGAGAGCACATAAAACACAACTATGTGATCTGATGTTGTCAGCCAATGAGTCACAAGGGGATTAGAACTCAAAACTCATTGATACTGAGTAAGAATCAACTCATAACTGGCCCTTCATGAGTTTTCAGAGGCTGTAAATCACCTAGGAGGGGGCTGCCCATCTTTTTCTCATGGAGACGCTGATGGATTTGAACCATGTGCCTTTGGTTTGGCAGCAAAACTCCTTTTCCACTAGACAGCTGCCCCTCCCCAGAGCTCCCTGAGGATTAAAGTGGGCGCAATAACCAACCTTAGTCAGGTCACAGTGCTGACGGGATGTGCAGGGAGTGTCCCCGGGGTGTGGTCTGGATCACCTTTTGTGTTAAATGTCGTCCTGTCAACTGTGACTCCTAACAACACAATGGACAACAGCTGAAAGCCTTGCCCATTCCGGCCCTGTCCTCACAGTCTCTGTTCTTCTCCAGCCCGCAGTTGCTGTCACTGTGCCAATCCCACTCACTGAGCGCCTTTCTCTCCTTCACTGACCCTCTACTTTTCTGTCCTTTTCCAAGGCCTGGTCCCTACAGACATGCTCAAGGTACGTGAGACAAAGTTGCTCCAAGGGGCAGGCAATCTGACAAGCCTTTGTCTAAGACAGATTTTCTTGTTCCTTCGGTTTGTTGTTACTGTTGTTGTGTACCGTCACCTTGGAACTCTAAGGACTGCAGAGCCCTTTCCTTCCTCTCCCAGAAGTAATGACCTGATCACAGGAAGCAGCAGCTGGGCCTTGCTCTCTGTCAAGGATGTGTAACTGTTCTACCCTCCTTCCCCAGAAACAGTTATCTGAGACCCCAGCCCACTTTCCGATCTTGTAGAAATCATCTGTGAGCATCCCCTTCCCCAAGTTCCTTGTTAGAGAATATACCTCCCCACCACCACCACCACCACCTCTTAGTGGGGACTGGTTTTCCGCTTGAGAGCCGGCCTGCCAGTTTCTCCTCAATAAACTGTCTTTCTTGGCCGGAACTGGGTTCTATCCTTCCTCGATGACCTTACAGGAACCAATCCGGGCTGACCCTCCAGTGGATTTTCACAGAGAAGTAAATCATGCAGGAGGAGATCGCCCATCTTTCTTTCAAGACACAGACTGTGGATTTGAACCATGTGCCTCTGGGATTACAGAGCACTGAGGCACCAGTGGTAAAGAAGGCAATTCAAAGGTATCAGTTATCTTGTGTGACAAGAGATGTAAGAAGATAAATGGGTGGTGGCCTCTTTACCACCGAAAAAGGAGATCAGAGGAGGGGAATGTCCTTCGGACCTAGGATCCTGCACTGGGGAACTTCTAGAACAAGGAAAAACAGAGAGAGCGAGCCTACTCCCTTGATCCCATGCCCTAAATTTGGACTTCTAGTTTCGTAAGCTGTGGGAGAATGATTTCTGTTTCTTTAACCTATCCACCTGTGGCCTCTCTATAGGAGCAGCACAGGTAACAAAGGCATTAGGTAACACTGTGTTCCCAAAAACCTCCATCTGAATCAGTAAGATTACTCAATAAAATCACTTATTTACTCCTAGAGGGGAGAAAGTGGGCAGATCTTTATAGAGGACATATTTGGCAAATAGCATCCTTGAGACCTTGTCAGTAATGGCTCAAACTGACATCACGTGCTCCTCATGCAACATTTACAAGTTGTTAATTTGCTGTTGCTGCCAGGTGCCATCGAGTCAAGTACAACTCAGAGCGAACCTATGGACAACAGCTCTGAACGCTGCCCTACCCTGCGCTGATGTCCTCACCATCCCCACCACATATGAGCCCACTCACCCTGTCGATCCATCTCACTGAGGTCTTCCTCCCTCCCTCGAGCTAACCCTCCACCTGTCCATGGATGCCCTTCTCCAAAGACTGGTTCCTCCCTGACAACAGGCCCAAAGTATCTACATGGAGTTCCATCATAATCATCCTTTATCTTTGACAAAAAACAACTTAAACCAGGCCTGAGGGCCGCAGATTAAAATCACCCGCCTTGGGCTTGGTAGCATACCTTTCTGTCCAGTAGGCCAACCAAGCTCTATGTTGTCGCTGTTATTGTTGTTAAGTGCCATCGAGTCGTAGACGACTCATAGCAACCCTATGAACGAAAGGCCTGAACACTGTTTATAGAGTTTCCAGAGGCAAGCCATTTCAGAAGCAGATGCCACTCCTGCTTCCAAGCTTGTTTTAGTCAGGGAGCTCCACTAAACACTGTCCACCATGCATGACCATTATCACATTTGCCACATTGGTGTCACAGTAGTTAGGTGTTGTTATTGTTCTTGTTGTTGCTTTTGTTTTTGCTGTTGTTGTTTGAGTCCACCAGTTGCTCCGTGAAAGCCCCCTGGAGGGTCAGCTGTGGGTCTGTTCTGACCCGAAGGTTCTCAACATGAACAGCAGCAGAAGCATGTCAGAGTCCAGTCCGTGTTTTCAGGATAATAATATCAATAATAACTCCTTGGGGAATACATGATCAGGCTGAGTGTGCCTCAATACTCAGGTTAGCAGCTAAAGCTAAACAGAACAGTATTCTTCCATCTCTAGCAACTGCCCCCAACATACACTGGGGGGGGGGGGGCTTAGACCACGGTGAACGAGTGAAGACTGTGTTATTGTTATGTGTGATTAGGAGCCTGGGGGCATAGGGAGTTAAGCCTTGAATGGCTAACCAAAGGTCAGCTGAGTGAACTGCAAGTAGCTGGGCGCTGCAGGAGAAGATGAAACTACACTCAGGTGATGATTTGCAACCTTGAAGGAGGGTGGAGCTGGTCTGCTCCGCCCTACAGGGTCGCCTGGGGTCAGGACCCACCCCACAGCAGTGGATGGGCCGGCAGTGAGCGCCTGTGTTTATCTCTGGTGCTTGTAAGACCTGTGAGTCTCCAGGGCCTGAGTCACCTCTGGGAATAGAGGAGAAACTGTTTCCAAAGGAAAAGACGCTGCTAACGGTTCAGGAGTGACTAGCAAGCGGTGAGAGGCAAAAGGAGAGGTGTTGCCAATCAGGTTTTTGAAGACAGTATTTTGAAATTTAAATACAGCTTTTAAAAAGGAGGAGGTATCCGGATCTGGGGGAGTAGGGAGTAGGGACAGAGTGGGGCGGGACCTGTAGACCCACTCCCCTTTCTCAGGACCTTGCCTGGCCGCATTCCTGACCTTCCCCGCGACCTCTCACCCCAAGGCTCCGCCCAACTCATCTCTGCTCAAGAGAAGTTTGCAAACTCGCTCCTCTTCTCCGAAGGAACGCCCCTCTTTCCTACACCAGCCGGCACACTCTCTTTTACTACAAGCATCAAGGAGCATTCTCTCCTCCGGGGCACCCCCTTTCCTGTGTTAAGGGGCACTCTCCCATCTGGGGTGTCCCTCTTCCCACGTTAGGGGATGCTTTCCCCTCTTGCGGCGCCCCCTTTTCCTGCTTTAGAGGAAACTCTCCCCTCTGAGGGGCCTCTCTTCCCGAGCTAGGGGGCACGCTCCTCTCCTGGGCACCCCTCTTTCTGCGTCAGGGGACAAGCTTTTCTGCAGGGTCACCCTCTTTCTGAGTTAAGGATCACTCTTCCCTTCCAGGCGTCCGTTTCTGAGTTAGGGGGGTTCCCTCCACTGGTGGGGCGCCCCTCTTCCCATGGTAGGAGGTGAAGTCACCCTACTCAGCACCAGTAGTACCTCAGGCTCCGAAGGAGATGAGGCGCCAAGGACAATGGTGTCGCTGGTCTGGTCCCGCAGCCTGGAGCCCGAGGAGCTGCTGTCGCTGCAACTCATGGTGGCCCAGCCTGTCCAGGCGGCCCTGAGCTGAGCACTGGGAGCCAAGGACGCAGGGGAACAGTTGCCTGGGGCAACGTGTCAACACCCAGGAGCCCGCAAGAGGTGGGGAGGCAGGCAAGGAGCCAGAGGCTTCCAGGTGGGACTGCCCAGGCTCCCAATACCAGGTCAGCGAGTGACCAAGGCTAGCAGTGATGCTGGGCAGGAAGTGTGGGTGCAGAACAAGCCTTTATCCAGCACCCACCGCGTGCCATCGCTCCAGCAAGCTCAGGGCAGCCCAGTTGGTGTCCAGAAGCATCCTGCATTCACACTTCCGCAGTGCTGCCTGTTACAAGCTTGAAACTCTGGGCGGTGGTGGTGTTATCAGGTGCCATTGAGTCAAATTCGACTCATAGTGAACAGACCTGAACCCTGTTCTATCCTGTGTCATCCTCCACATCCCTGACACGCCCAAGCCCATTGCTGCAGTGACTGTGCAAATCCACCCAGTTGAAGGTCATCCTCTCTTTCACCACCTTTCCAAGCATAATGTCCTTCTCCAAGGAATAGCTTCTCCTAGCAACATGCCCAAAGTATGCTACAAAGCTTAGCCACCTTTGCCTCCAAGGACACCTTCTCCAAGATCCAGCTGTTTGTTCGTTTGGCAGTCTATGGATATCCAGTATTTTCTTCCAAAAGCAGTTCTTCTGTCATCCTTATTCATCGTCCAGCTCTCAGCAGCAAAGCAAGTGACTGAAAAGACCGTGGGCTGAATCAGGTGCACCTTAGTGCTCTATCATCTGTCGTTGCTCCTCAGTGATTTGGAGAGGTCCCTGACTACAGCCTTTTCCAGCATCGTACATTTCCTGATCTCCTGACTGCTGGTACCAAGTGTACTGACTGTGGGTCCAAATAAGATGAAGTCATTGACAGTTACAATCTATCATGATGTTGCTTTGTAAGTCCAGTGGTGAGAATTTTTGGTTTTGATGTTGAGATGCAATCCATACTGAAGGCTTTGCTCTTCTGCAGCAAAAGCTACAAGACCTTCTCACATTGAGCAAGCAAGGTTGTGTCATCGGCATACTCAAGGTTATTGATGAGTCCTCCAATTGTCACGTTCTTCTTCAAAGAGTCTAGCTTGTCAAAAATTTGCTCACCATACAGACTGAACAGATATGAAGAAAGGAGACACAAGCCTTTCTTAATTTTAAACCCTGTAGTGTTCCCTTGTCCTGTTCATACAATAGCTTCTTAGTCTAGGTATAGATTTTGCGTAAGCACAATTAAGTGTTCTGGGATTCCCATTCTGTGAAGTGTTAGCCATAATTGGTCATGATCCACACAGTCAAATGCTTTTATAGTCAACAAAACATAAATAGACCTTCTTCTGGTATTTCTTTATTTTCCGTCAGGATCGATCTGTCATGACATCTCTGGTACCATGACCTCTTCCGGATCCAGCTTGAACTTCTGGAAGCTCTCTGTGCACTGTTCTATCCATTTTTCAAATGACCTTCAACAGTATTTTGCTTGCATCTGAAACTCTCAGTAATTTCTAAAAAGTGCTGCATTTTCATGTTGTATTGCAGCTCGTCCTGCAGCACTGTCTTCTGTTCACCTTTGAAGTTGTCATTTCATTTTATCTGGATCCACAGTAAACACCCTCAGAAGCCGCAGTTAAGAAATAAACGTCCCATCAACAAACGAATGGCTAGAGAAGCTGTGGTATATTCGCACAATGGAATACTATGCTGCATTAAAAAACAAGGAACGCATGCAATATTACTCAAAATGGTTGACCCTGGAGAACATTATGCTGAGTGAAATGTCCCAGTCACAAAGGGACAAATATTGCATGGTGCC